GCATACCATCCCTCTCCTCCTCCTTCTGTACCAAATCAGGGACAATGTCACACACCCACAGGCCGAACTAGTCATTTCAGTCACTGAAGTTTCACCTCTTACTCTCTCTTCAGACTTTTCCTCCCAATACTGATTTTTAGGACAGTAGCCAAAACAGCAATGATCCCGAAACGTGTGCTTGGTCTAGTGAGAGGCAGGATGTGCCCTGGGTTTGCGTGGTATCGAAACGGCAAACACACACACCCTCTCTCTCTCTCTCTCCGCACCCCCCTCTCTCTCTCCCTCTCTCTCTCTCTCTCTCTCTGACCCTGGTCCTCAGTGCCCAGAACAGTAATCTGACCTCTAACGTTTACAACAAAACGGATGTGACCACAGTGACATCACCTTTCCTTAAATAAAGTTTAGGAAGCCTTACATCCGTTTTGCACAGGATCTTTCTTCTTTTGCCTCAAACTGAGCATTCTTTTCATTTTCTCCTTATTTCCTAACTGATAGTGATTTGGTAATTATAATTAAAACCCTTGTGTTAAAAGTTCTTTTATTTAAAAAAAAAATGAATGAACACCACCAAAAAGGTATTGAAAGATGGACCTGACCCTCTTCTTTGACTTCAGAAAATTCTTCCACCTACTGTTTCCTCAAAGAAACTTTCAAAGTTTTTCTTTCCATTTGGCTCTCCATAAGCTGAGATCCTGTCTTACTGTCAGGAGGCTACATGGGGATGCAGCAACACAGATGTCCCCACTGGTCTAGGGAAATGACAACACAGGAAGGAGTCCAAGACAGGGAGTCAGAATGCTGGCTCTGCCACCTACTGGCTGTAAAATACTGCAACATTTCAATCCCTCAGACTCACCTGGGCCATCTGTAAATGGGAATGAAATCACAGTGTCACTGGGGGATGATGGGAGACAAAGTATACCAAGCAGCCACCTGTCATAGTCAACAGCGGGCGCTCACTGACAACAGATGCCTTCAGTAGCATTCTGAAGCAATGGACTTGGTCCAGGGGGGTTGATGAGAGAAAAACGCCCAAAGGGATCAGGCTGCAGGTGGTGCCCACCCGGTGCTCAGACACCAGAGCCCGAACTCTCACAGGGAGTCCCTGACGCCAGTGTTCCAGCCAGGCACACACCGCAGACCATGCGTTAACCCGGGACTGCTACCCTGTGCCTAGGAGAGGGGACAGATGCTGATGGCCCCTGTATGTGCCAGGCAACCTTCCCCCACCAACCCCCCTTCCCCGCCCCCTGCCACCTCCCGTCTGCATCTTAAGGGAAATCCCACAGGGCAGACACTCAGCCACGCGTCCTTGCCCGTCTCAAGACCCACATTTTTTACTCCTGGGCCGAATGTCTCAATAAGCCCTTGAACAGTTCTTAACAGACTGAACAGAATTCTCCATTTTCCTCTTGGTTTCTTTAAATACATAGCACTTTCATTCACTCTGGAAGAAACCAGTATCCTGTAACTCAGACAACAATGGGATATGTGGAGAATAAAAGTAGAAAAAAATCAGACACCCTCAGCTCCTTAGACAAAGGGTGGACCTATGAGTAGCTGTAGGTTTCAATCGAAGAGAAATTGCTGCTTGCCCCTTTCCTTCCCCCCGAGGTCAGAAAGCACGATGCATTTTCTAGAGCTCACAACGTCACACAATCAGCAACACGTACAGTGACACACCCAACCTCAGACACAAAGGTGGGTCCACAGAAGAGGCTGTTTTCTCCAGGAAGCCTCCGCTGTGACGTGACAGTGCAACCATTAGGCCACAGTTCTAAGCCAGACTTCGGGTTCAAGTCCAGTTCCTTGAGGTGCCTGGCACCTATTACGTAACTTCTCGGTGCCTCAGTTTCCTTCTGTGCAAAAAAGGGAGTAACAGGTGTACCTGTGCACTGTGTGTGTGTGTGGGAGGGGGAGGGGCTGCAGGGCTTAAATGAGTGGATGTGTTATGGGGTGCGAGGCAGAGCTGGCACATGGCAGCATGTGCTGTCACTAACATCACTGCT